TTTTTTTCCCAGTGAAATTAAGGTAGTGCTTCAAAATAAGTGCCTGTGGGCGTGTCTCCTGAAACACCACAGGCTTGTTTGTGCTGTCGAGTGGTGAGTCTGGACTCTAAAAGCTATTTCTGGATTATGAGTTTCAGTTTTCTGCCACAGTTTGTTTACATTTAGGAAAATACATCTTTTAGCTTTAGACTAAGATTGCTATATTGTTTCAGATCCACACTTTCAGCAACATTAACCATGTCTGCACCTGTCGGGCAGAAGGCTTATAGCTCGCTGTTGTTTCCAGTGACTCCCAGCAGTCCCAGTTTCATTTTGTCATTGAGCTGCTCTTCCATACTGAGGTCCAAAGCTACATTGGGCAAGTGCAGGGCCAGCATGCTTACCTTTCCCTCCTTTCTGAGGACGTACCTGTGGAAGGAAAGTAGAGTCACAGACCATATTAGGAGTTTTAGCAGGTAAAGTGCTGTTTCAGTTGTGTTCTTCACCAACTGCTGTCCGTACAATCTAACACAGGCTGAAAACAACGTTTCTTTGATTGCATAAGAAGTGTCACAGAGTGGGTTCACTGACAGTGTTGGCCCTGCCTTAGTGAGGGTCATCCCTGCATGCGAGGTAGCACAGGTGACAGACAGCGTCAGACGTGACTGCATGCATATACATGAAATATGCATGCGCCACTTTGTTTTTAAATGAACCTCCTTACAACAGGTTGTTTCCTAGATCGTACATGTTCGTTCATTGTTGAAAGTATTGAATTTATTGCCCAGTGTCAAACATTCGATCGTCTTGTTCTCCGTCCAGAGTCGGCCACCCTACACAGCGCACATCTGGTCCCCTCAGCAGTGGCCCGTAAGGGAGATTCAGGCATACTGTGTTTGAGTGGCTACCTCCTCTGATGAAAGGATATTATTCATCTTTTACAGTCAGTGTGTTTAAAGAGAGTCAATACTGAACAACGTCTTAAAATCAAAGGGACATAAGGTGTTTATTTCCCTTCACTCAGGAAACCAGTGATTTATTTTACTCTAAAACTCTGACTTTCTCTTCATTCATAAATAAGCCATCATTAACAGTGAAACTCTTGCTTCAGGAGTGTCATAGTCCTGTCTGGGGTCTCAACAACATTGTTTCAGTCGCGCTAATTAAAATGTGCTCGATGTCACATCCAGAAAGGTCTCTGGAGGTCAAGCCTACGCAGACGTTTGGAATGACAGAAGCTGCTTCTGTGTCACAGCAGCAGCGTGTGCACGGCTGCTTCTGTGTCACAGCAGCAGCGTGTGCACGGCTGCTTCTGTGTCACAGCAGCGTAACTGAAGTAAATGGTTTCCTTTCCCGTGGTTTTCCTGGTTTCCCAGTCACGTCGTGTTGACCTCACTGAAAGAGACCTTTCTGTCTTTTGCACCTGCCAGCTTTCGAAGAATATCGCTTCCTATTCTGCTCGTTCATGTTTTACACCAGTAACAGCTGAACATTCAAAAAATTACACAATATGGATTTTTTTTATCATAGAGTGCTACTACATGCTGTAACATAAGTGTCCCTTATATTTTGGTTATTAGATAACTGTGACTATTATATCCAGGTACATTTGTCACTCTCTGAAGGTTAGTGGTGATAAGTCATATTTACACACAGCATACACGTCGGTACTCAATCGCTGACAAATGCCAATCACTTCTTGCCAACATGGACTACAAACAGTTAATACACTGAAAACTCCATCATAATGTTTTTGTGCTTTTCGAGCGCCCTTCTATATGATACCACAGTCGTGTCATGTAATCAGCACAGTGTAATAAAGACATAAAAAGACTTTATTAATGCTGAGGAAATTTCTTTATTACACACTTCATTCCAATATAAATATGGAAGATGGCAAACAAGTTGAAAAATGTAAACAAGTAAAAATAAAATGAGGTGAAACATTTTCACATAAATAAATAAAGTTAAACCTGTTTCTTAAATTCAGGACAGTGACTGTGTTGTCACCTCTGTCTGCTCATACTTTTTATTGGTGTTTAAACACGTGTGTGTGTTTTATTCCTTTTAATTACACTCCATTAAAAACAGCTTCTGGTACTAGAAGGTACCAGAAAGTCAAACTTTGCTTCCCGATCTAGGATAAAGCTTTATTTGAATTTTTGCAAATACTGTAATGTGACTCATTTTGTAGCTCGTTTTCAGTATTAAAGTTCCATGTTGTACATAGTGGACAAGAGCGGTACAGGTCAGAGTAAGAAGCAGTGGTAGGTGGTGTGATTTACCTTCTGTCATGCCCACTTCGCCAACGATCTCTATTCAGCCACTCCCACAGCCCTGACAGGACATTTCACAGAGAACTCCTCATGTTGCTCCAGATGTTACTGAGCAGGCCGAGCAGCTGCAGTATATGTGGCTATGATCTTACTTGAAACTGTATTTTGTCGGAAATTTGTAGTAGATCACGCTCTTTGTGTGCATCTGTTGTGTTTGTTTTCTTGTACTAAATAATTAAAAAAATCTTTAACTCTCCTACGTCTTTTTGCCTCCTTGTTGGTAACATTTTACAGCAGCTGTGTGATGCGGTGGTTGTTCTGTGCTGCATTAAAATGTCCTGAGTGAAAAGATCAAAGAACTTTATGTGTAAATTGTTACATTTATAATCATGAAACAGAAAATGCAGTGAGTGCAAAGCAAACTGTAAGTTTACAGCTGCATCTGTGCAAATATCAGCCTCCATATTTGTGACTATTTTCACAATTGTTTCATCTTTAAATGTAAGAATTAAAACTTGTTATACAAGCTTGTCTACATCGTTAGATCATATTCTTCAAGTTGAACATATTGAACATCTTCATAGACTCCACATTTTATTCAATGAAAAATGTCTTTAAAAATCTTTTTACTGAGCTCACAGACCTACACAATCATTTCCCGTAGACTGCAGTGTTCATGCGACCCGAGGATGCCCTGCCAGCATTAGAAACACTGCAGATTTAAATGATGTAGAATTAGTAGATACATGAAACCATGTCATTTTATAACTATTCTCTGAAACAACCATATTTGATCGACAGGTTGGACTGCTCAGTTATCAGCTAAAGCTAGTGAGTTTAGTTAGCAGGCTGCTTTGTACATTATAGTTAGCACTCAGAAATATACTGAGGTATAAACTGTCTCGAATCAGATCATACAGCAGGCCAAGGAGTTCATAACACTCCTCCCGAGACATGTTTTGATATTTAGATTTTTTTAGATAATTTAATTTAATTTCAAAGAAACATTTTTTTGTAATATTCTGTTCCTAAAGGACCCTAGTTCCATCCCGGGTTTCGGCACCAAAAAAAAAAAAACGGGGCGGCAGCTGAGGTGAGGTTCTGTTTGGGTTTTATTTTATGTAATGTTAAGGTAATGAGTAACTTGAATCTCTGTTTTCTTTCAGCATTGGCAGTCCATTTGTGTCTTTGTTTCCTTCCTTTTTTGCCTTATTTATTTGAGAATAAATAAGGCAATATGAAGCTGAAAAATATTTTATTCAGAACTGTGGAAGTTGTCAGAGATGCAGGACAGACAGGGCAAACAAAAAGATTAAAGGACGTGGCAGCGTTTGAGGAGCCTGAGAACGGGCCAAATGATGACACCCACAGTCTATTATGGACAAGATGTATAAGCTCTGAAGTTATGAGGTTTGGTTTCTCAGACAGGAGATCGCCTGTGAAGGGAACCATCTTTCCTTGGCAGCCTTGTTGAGGACATTTGTTCTCATTTGTTACCTTAATGGACTTGCTAATATTTATTTCAAAGTGTTGCCTATTTTCTGTTTGATGTTGTCAGAGAATCACGTGGTTGTGGGCCACGTTGTTTGATACTGTTGTGCCTAAAACCTTCACAGCCCTACATTTAACAGTTCTTATTTTGGATGAGGTGCATCACCTCCTTTTAGCTTTCACCTTCCCTCTCTGATGTCTGGCCTTCCTCCACTTCATCGTTTGACTGATTCCTTTTCGACAGCTCTTCCTTTCTGCCTCATTCTGCCCTCTACTTCCTGAAGTATAGACACTGTTCCAATCGGTTATGAGGTAGTAAGTTCTGCCGACTTAAAAGAACACAGAATAAAAGTTTTGTTTTGGAAAGCCTGTAATTACTACACATTTCTGAAATCTAGATCTAAGTTAAGACGCTCAAATTAAAGAAGAAACAGTTTGAGTTTAAGCAATAGAATCTACAAAAAAACAGAAGTATCACTTAATCTCTCATGGCCATAAAATATGGAAGCTGATGTGTTCTGTTTGCCCAGCCCACACAAAAGCCAGGATGCCCCCTGACAGTACAGCAGGAGTCATATATATGGTGCATGATGTAGAAGTATCAGACTCGTGTCCCCAAAGGAGGACAAAAGTTAATTGCTGGGTCTTAGGAGGATATCACCAACTGACACAGTTATAATGAAGTGGACGTGATTGGGAATGAAAGAGGCTGCCAACAAACCTCCAAAACTGTGGCTGTAATATTACCTTAAGAACAGTGTGCAGAGAGCTTCATGGACTTCAGCTTCATGCTCCCAGTGATGGGTACGACCCCTCCCTGTTCATGGATCAGACAGTTTGGTGTGAATGAACACCTGACAGAACACCTGAGGAATTAACTAGAGCAGAGATTGTGATTCAGGCGTCTGGTTCAACATCAGTGTCTGTCCTCACAAATGGTCAGACTGGTCAGATTTCCCATAAACACATACCTGCACCTTGTGGAAAGCAAGGTTCCCAGGTGAGCTGATTAAGAATGGGATCTCACTCAGGTTCATGTGTGTGTTTGCAGATGAGCAAATATTGTTGGCAATATCGTGTGGCAGCTGTCAGTTAGGGCTGCATGGGCTTAGAGTTAAGCTTTAGTAGGAAGTCACTGCAAGGTGACGTAAAATGATCTTATCATAAATGTTATTTATGTAAACTGCATCCTGGTACAGCATGGCTTCGTTTTTCTGGTTTTCGTCACTGGCTTTTGATTGCATTGGTCTGATTCGTCTTCTCTACATCGATTAATCGTCCTGTTGTTTTGTCGCTATTAGTGAAAGGAAGCAGGATGCACACATCGGTGGGCGCCTTCAGTAAGCTCCTGTTCAGGCGCGGTGAAATGCAGAGTTAGCCAACGCCACGATGGAGTCGCAATACAAGTTTTGTTTGTATTTTCCTGTCGCCCAAATATCGAGTTTATCAGACGCAGCAAACTACACAACGCTTCCTCAGCGAAAGAACGTCTACCTCGGGGAGACTCTCCAGTTTCTGCTGGTGTTGCGGTTTCGGGGCTTAACGGACAGGGACGATGGTGCTCTGTCTCGGAAGGACCTGGGGGGTTCTTTGTGCGCTCTGGCGAGCGTGTGCGCCGCGGAGAGCTGGAGGCAGACACCGGCTGAGCAGTGTGACCGCACGAGCAGCTGCAGTGAAGACAGCGAGGATGTAGAGTGTAGGACCGCAGAACAGAGCGGAAGAAGACGGGGGGACAAGCAGACCTTCACACAGTGTCACCAACTCCTCAGTCATAAGTGCTCACCCAGTAGTGCAGCGATGCACAGCGAGACAGAACAAGCCAAGGTAAAATAAGCCAGTACTGAAGAAGAGGAAGTCCATAGACTTACACACATCTGATGTTTCTGCAGAACTGTCATCACTCATTGTCGCATGTTACCTACAACGAGACAGGAAAAAAATAGGTTTTTAAGTAACCTACACATATGTCCTAATTTAAAAAACAAAACAAAACAGGGTGGTTTAGATTGTCTGTACTCGAGTAGAAGTGCAGATACTACTAGTAAAAACGCTCCAGTAAAAGTTACAGTACTGATTCTACTTATTTACTTGATTAAAAAAAAGTAAAGGCTCTAAATGTGCTCGAAGTAAGGAAGTAAAGGAGGATGCTGAACCCTGTGCTATGTGAACATAATGATAGAATAACAGAGGGGAACACAAACTTTAGTCTATTTTTGATTCTAATTATACTCAGCTTGAGTCTGAAGAAAAAGGAAAATCAAATCTATTTGCTGTTGCCTCCATTGTGGAGGGGACTTTGCCTGTAAACAGGAAGTGTGCACAGTCGGAGGTTAAAGTGGGTTCAGCAGGTGGGGAACCTAAAACTGGTTGTCACGGCTCAGTGTGGGGAACTGAATCAAACTCGCACTCATCTCTCCTGAGAGCTCCAGTAGGTGTTCTTACTGTGCAGGCTGTGATCAGCTGACCTGCTGCTCTCTGTGGATGGACACACCTGGATTCAACCAGATGTGAGCAGATGTTTCATCCTCCACAGTTTATACTGTCTTTATACTAGATGCTATAAAACCAGTATCAAGGTGGAGTTCATCAAATTCATGTGACTCTCTGCTACGTGTGATTTAAGCTAACTGTGGCCATGAACCCACAGCCACTGTGCACGAGGCACACACTGTGCTTTACTTTAAGTCCTCACAGTGCAGCAAACTAACCTGCAGAGGGTTTTCATGCCTTAGTTTGATTTGCAACATGTTTCAAAATTTAAAAAAAGTCACATGTCCAAACAAAGTATCTCGTTTTAAAAAATCCCACGAGCATCCTTACCTTTAAATGTAAGCTCGCTTCTTCTGACTTTGACACACTTCAGCTCTTTTATGCATCATCCTCTGCTGACGGTTACACAACAGGACTGCCATGCACGTGTTTAGACTTAAATCAGTTTGATGTTTGGAGGCTCGCAGTAACAAATAATAACTCCTCTTGAATGCAAAGTAATGAGTCTGTTTTTGAAAATGTGAGGAGTGAAAATAAAAGGTTACTTTTAGAAAAACAAACTAGGTAAGTACAAAAACACTCTCAGCACTCTCCTGTCTAGTCCCTGTTGTTACAACCCGTCTGCGGGCCAGGAGATGGCATGGATGAGGCACTTGCTCCCCACCAACACCCACACAGCCACAGGAAACAATCACTGGTCATTACATGGCATTTATTTACAGTAATGAGGCAAAAACAACAGAACAGGAGTGTCAACACTTCAGGGTGAGCCGAGGCCAAAATAGTAAATAAAACAAAGCTAAGGTCTGATGGATGCCAACATACACGACCTCACAGAGGAAAGGAACCAAAGTAAAGACAGAGTCTGACCTCCTGTCCAACACCAGGAGAAAATGATGTGTTCAAAGTAACGGCAGCTCACCCACTCCACTTCCTCAGCTGTTAGGAGAAGCGTGTGAAGCGCTCCAGGCTTTATGTATAAGGCTGCAACCAGGCATTCAGGAGCCGTACATCCATGCACCAGTGGCAGCAGGGCACCTGCACAGTTGAATTACCATAACATGCAGAGTTAAAAGAGTTGCTACAACAAACTGTTCAGGAAAACACACAAACACATACAACAAATGATTGTAAAACTATTCTTTAAATTTTAATTTATCAGCTGTTGTAAATGTCTATACATAAATATCTGCAAACAGAAAACTGAAACGCATACATTATTTTCCACCACAATTAAAGCTAAACTAGCATTAAGCGAGTTTTGTTTTGTTTTTTCCAGAATTACCTGTGATGGCAGCTGTTAGATATCGTACTGTTGTGACTGATTGTTTAACTCAGTCCATATTATTTTATTTATTTAAACAAAAATTGTCTTATGTTGATCTCCTGCAGTCTGCTTGGGTGTTGGAAGACCAGCTTATCTTCTGTCTCACTGTCTCTTTGGACAAGCTGCCAGTCAGTACACGTAAAGCCAAGGTTGGACACACCTGTATGCATGTACACGTAGTGTGTGTGTGTGTGTGTGT